CAGTGATGTGTGATGTGGAAATGTTCTAGACTCAGCATAAGGCTGCATCTTGTGATAGATAGCGTAGTATGCGTAACCCTATTGCCATAAGTGCATATGCTAAAGTTCTGTCTAACATGTAACATCTATGGGTGGATCTTGAACCTTGTATGAAGGTCTTTGCCTTCTTCGATCTGTTTGGGTTCCAGTTCAACAGATTTTCCAGGCATTGTAGTGTTAATGCCTTCAAGGTTTGTCGTGATGATGTTGATATGGTGGTGCCACTGGTGCTGTGCGTAGTGAATATGCTCCAGTTGGGCTAGGATGATGAGTGATGCATTGCAGAACTCATTTTTGTTGAACTGGAACCCGAACAGATCAAAGAAGGCAAAGACCTTCATACAAGGTTTAAGATCCGCTCATAGATGTTATGTGTTAGACAGAACTTTAGTATATGCACTTATGGCAATAGGGTTATGCATACTACGCTATCTATCACAAGATGCAGCCTTATGCTGCATCTAGAACGTTTCCACATCACGCATCACTGAATGCGCGATATAGTGGACACCTGTAGTCACCTCTTTCGGACTTAGGAACAGCCCTGGGTCATAGAGGTATAAATACCATACATGTAGACGAGTATACATATCGCTCTACACCCCAATATCACTTGAGCATTAGCACAACCTCTAAGGTGGGTTGCTTGGCCTGTTGGCTGCGCTCTATGCTGTGCAACAGTTTTTCTGGAAAAGAAAAGAAATTCAGCTTACTTGCTTGCCAATGCCGCCTCCGTCCACTTCCCATGTCACCCATGGCCATTGTGATATCATTTGGATCAAAGTTGCATGCTTTCACCAAGTCCACAGACTGACCCTAACCCGGTTATTGGAGTACTACGTACCGAATCAACCTGGCATCAGGATCCATGAAGATTTCCGAATGCTAAAGTTTCTGTCTCCAGGTCACTCGGCCGACCTCTTTTTTTCCAAGAGTTGACAGAGTCAACTATGTTTTCGGTTTCTGTGGGGATGAAGTTACTTCTCGGCTACTGTGGGTGTCTTCCATCTCTGCATTGTCGATCGTAGGTTGACTAGAATGGTGACTGTTATACTAGTAGTCAATGACTACTAGTATAACAGTCACCATTCTCATTTTGAACATTATTGCACTATCGGTGAAAGTCAATGCATTTCAAGATTCAATTATCATTTCTTGTTGATCATTGTCCGATTTTGACCATGTTTTGCAGACGTCGCTGATATACTCCCTCTTGCCCTGCCATCCATTACAACTTCGGAATCACCGTCCTTCTTTGTTGTTGTTCATATACCCATTTACCCGACAATGCGACTGTAGGGTTTGCACCTGACTTTGGCCTGGCCAATCACCCATCACTCGTGCGCCGTTCAAGATTGTTTCAGCTATTTATCCTCGGCATCGTCTCGCTTGGTTGTCTCAATTCACGTCGCTACCTACGTATTGGAACTGAACCCTATTTTGGCAGTAACCAACGCCTTCTCGACCTCCCGTTGGAGGAACGTTCCGCCCAACTGCTCGGCAATTTCGGCAGGTAGGTTCGGATTCTCGTCATAATTTCTCATCGTCTTATGGGCCGTAGATTATTCTGATTTGAGGTCATCGTGCCAACATCTTTGGGCTCTGAAAGAGTTTGTCTGGTTGAACTGGGTCGTCGGTGCGTCCTTAATTGTGTAATTACGCTCTTGCCCAAGTTTATTCGCTAACCTATCTGCAGTCGTTCTTGCGGCTCTCGTAATGCTGTGCTTCTCAATGATGCAGCATCGGAGTGGAGAGAAATACATCTGGACAATTCCACTTGTTCGTTTCACGCCTCGACCAAATAACAGACGTTCTGTGGGCGTTACATACGGAACCTCCCTGGTAGAGGACTACCTGCGTTTCTCCCGCTGAAACCAAAACGCGGGAGGGGCAAGCACATAAACCATACGTCCCTTTTGATGAGAGAGGCTGATTTGTGAAGCGGCTTCTGTGATGCCGCACTTACGCTGGCCATATGGAAGATCCGCGGTTGTATTGTTTTGCCTTGACAAGCAGCCTGTTCGGACACTTTTAGGCGAGCGTTGTATTCTATGACCTGGATTGATCAATCCAACCATTGCGAGGATGGCTTTCTTGCGCGACGATTTGGCATTTCTCGGAAAAATGCCCTCTGTTTGCATGTCATGGATGAGCATTCAAGTCATCGTATCCTTCCACTTTGTATCCTCTGTCCTATCGAAAGTAGGACCTCATCCAAGTGTTGGTTGAGAACTATGAATCAGGTTCTATACCGCACGCGTTGACAGGCTACCCAAAACATGCTTCCAACGGGTTCACACCAGCCTATGGGACCAAGGTCACACTCTGCACACGCAAGGAGTTTCAGAGGCTTGTCTAGATCGTTGAATTATAAGTAAAACGGGTTATGGGTTTGAGTGCGAGCGAACCTGTGTGTGTAGGCTTGGAAAAGCCGACGTTCTCGAACAACATAGGCGATGGAGTCACAAGCCACCAGTGTGTTTTGTCAGGGGGAGGAGGCAAAGCGGGGAGGTCTGGGTGATCGACACTAATAGGGTTCCATCTGTGCCAGGAGTGTTATGTCAACACCGCAAGTGCTTCTGAAAGGAAGCTCACCTGAACGCTTTCACGTTCTTGGAGAACGGCTACGCCTTGCCGAAGGATAATGCTCCCACAACGCTCATTTACGCAAAGCAAATCAAACAGATTTGACCTCTGGTCTCCCTTCTCTGAGACGTCAAAAATACCGCGTTGAAATGAAGACAGCAGTTTCCCTTCTTTCCGCAGAGAGACACCCTTGCCTTGCATACCTTCGAGGAGTCCAGACGGGATCATTTGGGGGACGCCTTGTAGGTCACTTGGCTTTTCAAGGGGAACAACCCATTCAAGCTCAATCCAGCAAACGCCAGCGAACGCTATGTTACTAAATCCGCGCGATTTGAAGCCAACACGCTCGTAGAAGGCAACCTTGTCCTCGTGTGCGATGAGGACGGCGCGATCGTATTGACCTACCACTACCAGGCGTTGTTGGTACTCGGCGAGGAGGGCACTAGCAATACCGCGTCCGCGTGCTTCCGGAGTCACGCATACACCATGGATAAGCACTGTGCGCGCACCAGGCACATGCGTGGACATTGAAGCGGCGGTGAGGGTAGCTTCAGAGGACAGAACGCCATCTATATAACCAAGGAGGGTACGTTTGCCATCGATTTGAGGTATGAAAGCGCCAAGGAAGAGGTCAGGAGCATTTGCCTGACGGAAGCTAAAAGCGTGCCGCGAATACATCAAGCATGGTAGTAATCCATGGCACCATGACGTACCGTAGCTTCTCGAGGGTAGCAGCTTCATCGGGCGTAAAACCTTGAGAACACACAATTATATAAAGGAAATAAGGGAGAATAAGAGCAAGCTTGCCTTGAGCTTCAAGATCATGGACGGCATTCACCTCCTCTGTTGAGACGAGGTCAAAAAAAAGGCCATTAGGCAATGCAGCTGCCGAAGTCATGGGAGATTAAGTTGAGTCAATCAGCATCGAACGACCTTATCTAATCTTGATACGCCTCACTAAAATAGGAAGCATCTTCCCATGGCAAGCGTGGAAATCGTTGAAAAACGGAAAAATAAATAACGACTTGGTGCTGCTTACTTCCCCTCCGCGATGCTGCCATTCGCGCTTCGATGCGCGATTTTGCGCGGTGGCATTTTCACAATTGCACCGAAATTACCAACTCCTGTCCTCTTGTTCAACGTCCACCCGCCTATTGACCGTTCAGAGGAATCTTACAACCGCCCCTAGTCACGGAAACTCACCGTCTACAGCAGATTCTGAACCGGGACATGAACCCAAGTCAAAGCCCAAATCCACGCGCCGAAAGACAGGGTCGAGCACCGAGGCCGCAGGAAAGGTCAGAGCGAAGAAAGTCAAGAGCTCCGCGAAGACAACAGTGGAGCCAAAGGGTCCGCGCCGTTCCTTGAAACTGGGACATCTTTCTCGTATTCTCACCCATTTTTTTAGTCGTTATAAAGCCCGAGGACTTTCCACCTAAGGGACCCGCCAATGTTTTTGGCCTCTGGCTCCATGAGTGGACCCGCACTCAGCCTAAGATCGACAGCCGCAACGCCGCTCAAAATCATGTAAAAAAGGGGGCTGAGATCTGGGGCACTGTCTCTGAGTATGACAAGCAGGTCTGTCTCGTATCTAGTCCATTCAGGTGCTCACGTGTTCACATGCTTTAAATTTCTGTGTAGCGATACCGGGAGAAATATGATTACCTGCACGCAGAGTATAAGAGGCGCCTGGAAGAATGGCGCGAGCAAGTCGACCCTGCCGTCTTACGCGAGCTAAATCGTCGTCGGAGAGCCAAGGGCCAGCCTCGTATCCGCGGCCCTGCCACTGGCCGCCCCTTAACTGCATTCATTCGGTAAATATACGGATACATCATCCAGCGGTATGGTGTGTTGAGCGAGATTTCAGTTTTTACCTAAACATGCGGGATGAGCATCCACGGACCGAGGGAGACGTACGTAGTTATGTCAAGGCTCTGTCGGGTCGGTGGAGGGCACTAAGTGATGCTGAGAAGGCGGTATGGACAACCTTTGCTGATGATCCACGAGAGCTGATCATTTTGTATGGATAGAGGTATAAAGAGCCAGCGCGAGCTGAGCTCACTGCTTGGATTGAGAAGCGTAAGGTGCAGAATCAGGCTAAGCAGTGACAGTCAAAGGGTTGATCATTGGAACTACGAAAGGTTGACATCGACGGGAGTCCTCTTCTTTTTATCAGGGCCGATAAGACAAGGACAGGTGCTTTCCTCGATTTACAAGTGCTTAGCCTGTAGTCTGGCTGATCTTTCGATGTGTCATCCTTCGCACCAATCTGATAGTTCGCTATGATTATATTATTCGAACAAGCTGCTACGTACCTACCTACGGCACGGCTAAGCTCGCAAAACCATCCTTCAGCATTTTGCAAAATAAAAGAACTCCCTGGCGGGGAGTCGAACCCCGCTCTCGCGCGCGCTCCGCTGCGCGCGGCAGCTCAATGACAGGCGCGTGTACTAATCCGATATACTACCAGGGACTTATAAGCTTTCCTGGAAATTCCAGGAAAATAATGTTGAGAAATCACATCGGCTTCTAATCGACTTTTCAACAGCACCACGGTGGCAATCACTTACCATGACACCGAATGACCTGTTCTCCTTCCTTGACAATCAAAATGACACAGACAGTGACTCAGAAATCCTTTCCCATGCTATGCAGGTCGACGGTGTTCCTCGTGGTGAACTGGCCAACGCTTCTACCCCGGCAAACGAGCATTCTGCCAGTTCCTCCGAGTCGACGACGCGCATAAAGTCGCCACGACCACCACTGCCATCAGAAGATGAACCACCATCCAAAAAGCAACGATTAGTGGTTCCGTCCACCTCTGCTCCGGCGGTTGTGGTCGATGAGTTTCAAACCGAGGCGAAGCGAGAGGTTGCGGCGAGTGCAGGGCTCACAGGCGCCACAGAAACGGCGGGTTCCCGCTTAGAGTTGCGACATCAGGTAAGCTACAAAAATCATTTCTTCAATTGCCAGCTGATCGCTAGTTTCAGGTTCGACACCAAGTTGCTGTACCACCAGGCTATCCTTATATTCCCATAGCCTCCCATGTTGCCCCGGCGAAGCCTGCACGCGAGTACAAATTCACCCTCGATCCCTTTCAACAAGTTTCGATCCACGCTATCCAACGCAATGAGAGTGTTCTCGTGTCTGCGCATACCAGCGCAGGAAAGACCGTTGTCGCTGAGTATGCAATTGCACAAGCACTGCAGAATAAGCAACGGGTCATCTACACAAGTCCAATAAAGGTTGGTTCTAACACCAAATGCTCGCACCTTTAAGCCCATAGCCTGACCGTACTCAGGCTCTTAGTAACCAAAAATATCGCGAGATGGAAGCCGAATTTGGGGACGTTGGGCTAATGACAGGAGACGTCACCCGTAATCCGTCGGCATCGTGTCTGGTGATGACTACCGAGGTACATCCAGCCGTTTTATGCTCTCGTACCTCTCTTACATCTTCACTCGCAGATTCTTCGATCCATGCTCTATCGTGGCTCCGAGATCATGAGAGAAGTCGCTTGGGTTATCTTTGATGAGATTCACTATATGCGTGACAAAGAACGTGGCGTCGTTTGGGAAGAAGCTATCATCCTCCTTCCCCATACAGTGCGCTATGTCTTTCTCTCTGCCACCATACCCAACGCGATGCAGTTCTGCGAGTGGATCTGTCGTTCGCACGAACAACCATGTCACGTCGTCTATACTGACTTCCGCCCAACACCATTACAACATTATCTCTTTCCTGCTGGTGGTGAGGGGATATATCTAGTGCTCAACGAGAAGGGCGAGTTTCGCGAGGACAACTTCTCCAAGGCAATGGGGATGCTACAAGAGCGTAGCGGCGAGGACCCCGCTGATCCAAACAGTGGAAAGGGTCGCAAAGGGAAAACAAGGAAGGGCGCAGACAAAAAAGGTGGAGTTTTGTTGTGGAGACATCGTGATGGGGCTGACTTCTAGAAGGACCCTCTGACATATCAAAGATCATCCGGATGATAATGCTTAAGAACTACAACCCAGTGATCGTCTTCGCATTCAGCAAGCGTGAATGTGAAGGTCTCGCACTCACACTCTCAAAATTTGAGTTCAATGGCGCAGACGAACAGGCCGCCGTCGAGAAAATCTTCGCGAATGCCATCGCAGGTCTCGCACCTGCCGACCGCACGCTGCCCCAGATAGAAAATATACTTCCACTGCTTCGTCGAGGTATCGGGATCCACCACGGCGGTCTGCTCCCGATTCTGAAGGAAGTCATCGAGATCCTATTCCAAGAAGGTGTAATTAAAGTCCTCTTCGCGACTGAGACGTTTTCCATCGGTCTCAATATGCCAGCCAAGACCGTAGTCTTCACTGCTGCTCGCAAGTTCGATGGACACGAGTTCCGAGATCTATCTTCCGGCGAATACATCCAAATGTCAGGTCGCGCGGGCCGACGTGGGCTGGATGACAGAGGCGTGGTAATCATGATGTGTGATGAGAAGCTTGAGCCTGCCCCTGCAAAGACGATGATCAAGGGTGAGGCTGACCGTTTGGACTCAGCCTTCCACCTTGGCTACAACATGATCCTCAACTTGATGAAGATCGAAGTTATCAGCCCAGAGTACATGCTCGAAAGGTGTTTCATGCAGTTCCAGAGCAGCGCCGGGGTGCCTATCCTCGAGGAAGGTGTGTCAACGTCACCCTTTCCGATAATAAATCCCCTTTATACCTCTCTCAGAGCTCAAGCGTTCCGAAGAAGCAAAAAGCTCGATACAGGTTCCGGATGAGGAGCTGGTTGCTCAATATTATGAGTACCGGCAACAGTTAAATCAAATGACGGCCGATTTTCGCGAGGTTGTTCATCACCCAAGCTATAGTCTGCCATTTTTGCAGCCTGGTCGACTCGTTAAGATTAAACATAAGGACCTCGACTTTGGCTGGGGTGTCATCATTAACTATCAGAAACGGCTTCCACCGAAGGTGTGTTGATCAGCTATCCTTTTCGTGCAGGGAAACTCAAAACTTCACATCGTTATAGAATCAGCCTGTGCCCAAAGACCACATTCCGCCTCATGAGCAGTATGTAGTAGACGTCCTTCTAAACTGTGCTCAGGACTCCGCTGTGCCGAAAGATCGCTCCACTATCACAGCCACCCCTAGTGGTGTGCTGCCTTGTTTTTTGGGGCAGAAAGGGGAGCCTCTGGTTATGCCTGTGCTTCTTTCGACTCTCGACGGGATAAGTCACCTACGTATATTCTTGCCTAAAGACCTGCGCTCTATTGGCCCGCGCGAGTCAGTCTGGAAGAGCGTGCTCGAGGTTCAACGCCGATCCCCTAATGGCATCCCACTCCTTGATCCAATCGAGAACATGGGCATTAAGGACGAAAAGTTCAAGGTGCTGGTCAAGGTGAACCCACGTCTACTCTCTGTTTCTCTACGGAAATAACATCCACCAAATTAGAAAATGCAAACAATGGAGCAGAAAATGTTCGCGAGTCGGCTACACAAGGACCCGCGCTTACCAGAACTCTATGACCTGTACACGCGAAAGCGCGCCGCGCAAGACCAAGTGCGTTCGTTGAAAAAGCGCATTCAGGCGACGCACGATGTCTTGCAGATGGAAGAACTTCAGTCTCGTAAACGGGTTCTTCGTAGGCTGGGTTTTACAAATGCGGATGATATTGTGGACGTGAAAGGCCGAGTCGCATGTGAGATCAGCACAGGGGACGAGCTGCTGCTTACCGAGCTCATTTTCAACGGCGTATTCAACCCGTTGTCTCCGGAATACTGTGCGGGACTACTCAGCTGCTTCGTCTTCACAGAAAAGGTCTGTACATCGCAACGACGTAACCGAAGCCAAACGCCGATATTAACCGTTGTCCAGAGTGAACAACAAACGAGACTGAAGGAGGAACTTGCGGCGCCCCTACGAGTCATGCAAGAGATCGCGCGACGCATCGCCAAAGTGTGCAAAGAGTCAAAATTGCCCCTTGTAGAAGAAGAATACGTCCAGTCGTTCAAAGTTGAGCTCATGGACGCCGTGGTGCAGTGGTGCCGGGGAGCATCGTTCTCGGACATCTGCAAGGTAAGGGCTGTTCGTTAAAGGTGTCATATGTTCGGTGTCTGTTGACCCTAGCGCGTCCCCTGCAGCTCACAGACCAGTTCGAGGGCAGCCTTATTCGCGTCTTCCGGCGGTTGCAAGAGCTCATTCGACAGATGGTTCAGGCCGCAAAGGTCATTGGCAACGTTGAACTGAAACAAAAATTTGAAAAAGCATCCGAGATGCTCGAGCGGCCCAACTCTGTCATTTTTGCGTCATCATTGTATCTCTGAAGCATTACATTCTCGAGACATCTTCTACGATCCCCTGCAGGCTTGACAAAACATTAATGATGACGAGGACGGTGAATGGACAGACAAAGCACACCGTGACAGTAAGTGAGAACTTGAGAGACGTCACCAGAGACGCAACAAGAAACTTCAGCACTGCTCATTATCGAGCCCGACTTCTGCTACGTCGCCAATTTTTCGACATAATCAGTAGGTACATACATAAGCCTTTATTAGGGGTGTTCAAAGTAGCCACTTATTGGCCACAAATGCCCCCTCCTGAGAATTCAATGATAAGTAGTGAATAATGACTTATTCTGAGCATTCATGGGTCTCAATGGCAATCCATTTGGACACCACATACTGAATTGCACAGTTGACTCAGAAAGAGCAAAGTTGTCATGGTGCTCACTGTTTGCATGGGAAGTCTTGAGAGAGTCATTCACACAGGCAGACAGAGACAAAAGGGGAAATGTGGGCACAAAACTTGTTATTCAGAATGGTAGCTACTGGTCCTTATAGTAGCTAATGCAAGAGGGAACTGGGTAACAGAGGAGTCTCAAACCACAAGCCATGTCTGTTGACTATGATGCCAAGTGGGTATCCTGACTTGGTAAATTTGTTGGCATGTGCATCCCAACACATCACATGAGTGCTAGTCCAGTACTCCCACAAGCTGCACACCAATGGCTTTCACCATGACAATACCATTGCCTGTGTTGTATGGCATCCCTTGTAGGGCTGTGCACCATAACCATCCATCATGGGATGG